TCTTCTATCATTACTGACAGGGAAAAAAAAAATTGTGCTCTATGGAGAGAAAGCTTGGAAGTCACAACAACTGTGTCAGAACTTTTCAATTTCTACCCCTTTCCAGGAATATTTGATCCTAAATCTTAAAAAAAAAAGAACATGTATGTGTGTGTGTGTGTGTGTGTGTGTGTGTGTGTGTGTGTGTGTGTGTGATGGGTAGGTGAATATGTGTCATGGCCCATGTGTGGAGGTCAGGGGACAGCTTCATGGAGTCAGTTCTCTTCTTCCACCTTTATTTGGGTCCTGGGGATCGAATTCAGATTGCCAGGCTTGGTTGCATATGTGTGCCTTTACATGCTGAGCCATCTCACTCCCCCTTAAACATTTGATTAATTCTGAAAGATTTAGTAAAAAGCAAGAATAGAAGCAATGATTTGACTACCTCACAGTAGGTATTGAGAGCTCTTCAAGGTCTCTGTATATTTGTGTCTTAATTTTGGGAAGTAAAAGAAGCTCAAAAGTTGAGAAATCACTTGAACATAATTCTGGAATGTAAGAAATGAGTTCCAACAAAGTTAGAGGATATAATATGCTTTAAATATAATATCAAACTCCCCTCAGAGTCCAGAGAAAACAAGGCAGGAGAGAACAATCAAGTATGAATTTCTGATGGTTCAAGGGGAACAGCATATGAAAATAACGTGCCGCCCAACACCAGGACGACAAAGAAACAAGACCCGAAAGTGGGCCACTAGGACAGACTGCGTCCTCCTTTCCAACTAACTTTAGAAGGCATCACTGAGTGAAAGGAGACTCACTGCTCAGTGTACCTACACCTGCCATCTGGGACGATGGCACCTCTGGGGGCAGACCAGGACTTACTGAATACGAGTACCAAAGTACCAGAGAATTTTGGAATCCAAAGTTGGCTAAGTCAACTGCGTGACTGCTGTTGACTTGATTTTAACTCCATTCTAACATGGGAGGCAACTTTTCCATCCCTGAAGATGTCCCTGAAGTTTGTTCAGAGTTTTGATATAAGGCAAATTTATTCCTGTATGGCCTTCCCAGACAGGGTTTTTCCCTAAATAACGTATAATCGGACTATGTTGGAAGTTTCATTATAAAGTGATGGGGAAATATGGGAGGTGTTGGAAGGGAGAGAGTGGGCGTGGATTTGATCAAAACACCTTATATGCATGTATGAAATTCTCAATAAAGTTTTTTTTTTAAAGTTAAAAAAAATAATGACCAGTGGGAGAGGAGAAGAGGGACAAAGGAGGGTAATGGAGGGGGGTAAATATGAGCAAAATACAATGATACATATGTATAAAATGTCATAAGAAACCACATTATTTTATACACTAAGTTAAAAATTAATTTAAAAAGTTAATGACCCTTGATTTTCCTAACAGTCTCTCTCATTCCCTTTTTCTGAGGAGGTTGCTCCACAGTAAATAACTTTAAACTTATGTGAATAGTTATACAATATATAGTCTTAGACCAAATTATCCTTACAGATCGAAGTGGGAACACGGGAACCTCATGGTTTTTTGCCAGAATTACTTAAGAGACATTACATTTGATTTCTAAATTCATTGTGTATATATGTGTGTTGTGTGTGTGTGTGTGTGTGTGTACAAACATGTGAGTGCATATGCATGTGTGTATGTATAAAGGAAAACAGAAAACGTAAATACTATGGTAAGAATATAACTTCTATGATGCCTTGTATAGAAATGTAACAAATTATAATTTATTATTTTTCTCTTCCAGGGCATAACTCAATTGACATTTGAAAGTTATTCTGAAAATATTACTCTAACAATTCTAGGGGTTTCTCTATAAGAACAGAGTGAAGTGTTTGGTTTGAGTTAGATTTTGACATAACAAGAAATATCCATATATACCTATAATAGATATATATGTGTATTTTATTTGATGAGGTTATTTCTTTTAATTCAGCCTCCAAAGTTTTAGAAAAGCCGTTCTGCTCTGGCTGACATCTTGAGCAGTCACTCCTGTGCTAGCAATTAACTTGTGTTTTCAAAATAATCCTGTTCATACACTGAAGTGTCTGCCTACATAGAACTTCAGCTCCTCTAGGGGAAAACACTATAATAATAAATGCTGGCATGCAAATGGAAACAGCACAAGGCTCACAACAAATGCTTATGAAAACATTGGTTTTCTTATAGTCAATTTAATTTTGAAATGTATGCCTGTGCTTGTGCAGGAGAAAGAACGGTGTAGTTGGGACGTCCTTACTTCTCCCACCCCCTGAAAAGCAAACACAGATCTTAACCCTGGCCCCACACATGACATGACTCACCAGAAACAGGCCCCATAATGAGAAGTCAGGCCTTCAGGTATGTCACTCAGAGACCACCCTATGAGAAGGGGCCCTAGGATCACAAAGCCAAGGTCACTTACTGCAACCTTGGTAATTAGACACTAATAATGAATTGAAGGTGTAAAATTCACCTCTGCTCACCAACAGACTAAACAACCCAGATCAAGACAGAAAGATTTTTTTTTTTTTTGCTGTTGCGAGGAGAGAGAATTCATTACAATACTACAGGGAAGCTCAAAAGAGCTTATCAACCCTGACAACATAATGGAGCAACACTGACGATGTTTGAACCTAATTGTCTGAGATCTGGGTGAAACCCCAACCTCTCATGACGGGGTCATTAGAATGTTCCATATTAAGAGTTAGTTAACATCAGTTTGGTTTGCTTCATAAAGGTGCCAATTTCAAGTCCCCTAAGAGTCTGTCGTATTTTCTTTCATGTCGTCCCTTTTCTCGAGGAGAATGCCGGATTCACACTAACAGGAAAACCTCATTGCAGGGCGACAAACACTTCTCTTGCTGTGAAGGAGGAAGCGTCCTTCCATAGGGAGGGGATGCTCTAAGTGTGGCAGGTGACACTGCCCAGAGATCACTTCACATCCATTGTCCTTTCAGTGTGTGGTGGCCAATGCCAAGCTGTACTTTTCTTAGGAAAGAAAATGTTGTCTGGTCTGTAAAACGTCCCCAGTTCAGGAAAACATATAATCGACAACTTACAAACAGCACATTGAAAATTGAACTACATCAGTGCCTTGGTTAACTTTTCAGATCACTAGAATTTATTCTTTTGAAAGAGATTTCAAATTCAAAGAAGTTAATGTAGAAGGAATTTAAAGGTTTCCTGCCTGGTGTTCGTGGGTAAAGAGTACCAAGTGCTATTGTTCAGTGACACCTGGCCAGTCCAGAGGATGGCTGGATTATGTTTTGGTTAGTTGCTTCTAGTCATATGATTAACATCCATATGATGGCATGTAATTTTAGCAGCTTCTGATAGTTCAGATCTCATACTGGACTGTCACAACTGATGAATGATGCTTCAGGATGACGGAAGCCAGTGCTGAGATAGGTGGACGGGGACGGAGTGGCAACAGAAAAAATACACTTTTTTTGTGTGTGTTATGTGTGTGCTGTGTGCATGCATGCCCACATGTGTGGGCACATGCATACATGTGTGTATGCATGCATGTGTGTGTACATGCTTGCATGTGTGGGCACATGTGTGTGTTCGCATGTGCATATCTGTCCATGTGTGTGAGGCCAGAGGCCGACACTGCATGTTTTCCTTGATTGCTTTTCATGTTGTTTGCCAACGCAGGGTCTCTTGCTGAGTTGGGAACTATTTGGTTAATCTAGCTGGGCAGTTTGCCCTCAGGATCTCATGACAGGGTTTGAATGAGACATGTCCCCCATAGTCTCATGGTGCCCGGTTGGTGGCACTATTTGGGCAGGTTATGCAGCCTTTAGAAGTACAGTCTTGCTGGAGGAAGCATGTCACTAGGGGCAGGATTTGACAATTTATGGCCTCTACCCTCTTCCAGTTTGCTCTCTGCTTCCTGTGTGCGGATGGAGGCGTGATCTCTCAGCTTCCTGCTCCAGCTGCTGTCATGCCTCCCTCACCATCATGAACTCTCCCTCTGGAACCACAAGCTAAAATAAGCTGTTTCTTCTATAAGTCATTTGGTCATGGTATTTTAGTAGAGCAGTAAAAGGTAACTGATAGACCCTGTCTCTGCCTCCCAGGTATTGGGGTATAAGGCACCATGCCTTCTGGGCATTTACGTGGGCTCTAAGGATCTGAACTCTGTTCCTCATGCTTGCTCAGCAAACATTTTATCCATTCAGTCATCAAAATATATTCTTAAAAAAATCTCATTTTTATGTGTACGAGTGTATTGCCTGCATGTATGTAAGTGCATCCCTGTTGTGTACTGCCCATGGAGGTCAGGAGAGGGTGCTGAATTCTCCTGGAACCGGAGTTGTGGACAGTTGTTAGCCACCATGTGGGTGCTGGGAATTGAACCCAGATCCTCTGCCAGAGCAACCAGTGCTCTTAAGCCATGAGCCATCTCTCCAGCCCAGCCAGTGCTGAGATAGGTGGACGGGGACGGAGTGGCAACAGAAAAAATACATGAAACCAAAATATATTCTCTAAAAGATAAAAACCTTCAACTCTTCCTTTTGCTGAGACAAATAATAAAACACTCCCTCAGTGTTCGTTTGCTTGGCCACGCAGTCTTTGTGAGTGCTGTGAGCTTCCAGATGGCTTTGAAATGAGGCTCGGATGTTGAACTGTTAAAATATCTTATCTTGCTTAACTAGCAAGAATCATACTGAGTGGGATCTATTAGCACCTTTCTTGTTTTCTCAAAAATAAAGTTTTTTTTTTTTAATTGCTTTTCCAACACTAGAACTGAATGCAGCCACTGCCTCACACATTGGGGTCCTCACCTGACCTTTAACTGAGAACTGTGGTTCCACAAATCCAACCCTGCTCTGGAGAATGACATGAATAAACTTTTTAAGTCCTGCAAGGTCAAGCGGCACAAGGGAAGGGTGCGAGCGATCACCTCAGCTCATTGCAGATTGTCTCTTCTACAGCGCCTCTGAATGAAGTAAAACCACTTGAAGAGTATTAGGTTGGCTCAAGGGGTAAAAGAAATCTTACCTTTTCGGATCTATGATCTTGTAGAGTTTTCCATTGTGAGTCTGAGTCATACTCTTACTGCTGGATAAAATGTAAACTTCACCTGTTGAAAAGAAATAACAAGAAACGAATTCACAGCATGATGCCACTGGCAAGCAGATACTATGGATTTCCATCCACCCCCAGGAAGATCGTCTGCCTAAAGTTAGCACCTCACAAGGTCACCTTTGCAGTCCGTCTAGATTCCATTTACTACTTCTCCGTCCCCTCCTTACTCCTGTGCAGGACAATACTACGCCTCACCTGGATCAAGTCCAATAGCCTCCTCCCAAGCTCCCCGTCTCTTCTGACCCTCTCTTGGATCATGGCCAACAGCCTTTTCCCTGAGCTCCCAGTTTCTGCTTCTGCTCTGTGTTTATTCTCAATATTCTTGCCCCAGTGATTCTTTCAAAAGAATTGGGTGGTATAAGCTAGGTCAAGCCAGGGGTTAAGACTACTGGCTGCTCTTGCAGAAGATATGGGGTTTGGTTCCCAGAACCCACATGGCAGCTAACAACTGTCCATGATTCCAGTTCCAGGGGAATATGACGTTCTTGTCTGACCTCTGCAGGCACTGCATGACATGGGTGTAATACACTACACACATAAAATAAAAATAACAAACAAATATTTTTTTTAAAGTTAGGTCAAGCAAAAATTTCTGGGTTAAGCCTCCTGGATGTTTCTCCCCTCCCTCCCTCCCTCCCTCCCTCCCTCTTTGCCTGTCCCTGTCCCTTCCTTTTTTCCTTTCTTTTCTCCCTTCATTCTCTCCTTTCTTCCCCCACTTCTCCCTCTTCTTGCGACAATGAGGATCAAACTCAGAGCCTCATGTATTCTAGCCAAGCACCCAACCATTGAGGCACCCCAGGAGCTTAGCTATTTTCAAAATCAAAGTCTGCTAATGACATTTAAATTATATTATAGAGGATATGAGTAAGAAAGGGGTGTTTTTCTAATTCCTTTGAGTGGTGCATAAGAATGTCAAAGAAAAATGAAATATAAAACACTTTCACTCTGGAGCAAGAGCAGATGACTCTCTTCTTTAAATCATTGTATCTCTACCTGTCAAATGTGTCCTATGTATTTGGGGAGCCTTATCTGGGTCCCTCATCAATCTAAGTGAATGGCATGGAACTATTTCTGGTGGATTCCCTACTTAATGTGAAAAGAAAATAAACCTGGGCTGCTTTTTATAGAGAGAACATTCAGATTTATGCGAAAAACATATATTTTTTTCTAACACCTTAAAATTCATCTCTGAGACTGAAGATTCCTAATGCCCATGGTTTGTTACAATATAGTCCATTTACGCATCACAAAAGCTACATCGAATTCTGTAATTTAAAATAGTAGCACAATTTCAGCATTTCTGATTAATTACATTCCAGTGTCAACTTTTTTGCTCATTGAGCTCCATATACTTTGAGAAACATGTCAAAATCTTACTCTGTAGATTGTCAGTAAGATTTACCACTCAGATTACCATGGGCACATTTTATTCCTCAATGTACACAATAAATAAATAAATAAATAAATAAAAAGATGAACAAAAAAAGAAAGTGGATTTCAGATTCTACCATTTTAAAATTTATTTCAAGAGATACGGAAGTGGAACAGTTTTTAGATATGAAA